GGGGCTGCCTTGGCAACTGTAAGGTCAAATTAGCCGGTATCCTTGCCGAACAATACTACTCATTAGTAATACCTTTGAGTGTATTGTGTTACAAGGACTAATGTTGAGCCATTTAGAAGTAGTTTCTAACTCATCCAAGCCCCATCAACACCTCCAGCAAGATTCTCACCGTTACAGGCAGAGACGTTAACTTCCCGCGCAGGATATACTTATAAAGTCGGTCCTCAAAATGCAGTCTTCTCTGGAGAGGGGAAAGAGGAAAAGTAAATGGCAAAATCATGCCTCCTCTTAAGTTATTCTTAGAAAACAATGATTTTATACTGGGTTATTTATGAGTATAAACTTAGGCATTGCTATGGATACTTTTATTTTATTTGAAAGTTTATATATTTTTATTTGTTTCATTTTAGAGTTGAGTTTATGCATGTATGGTAGGGTCGGATAGTCTTTTCGACTAAGTTTTAACTTGTAACTTTCTCAGGAATGAGTTCCAACTTTGTTGATGTCATCTTCCGGCGAGATCGACAGATGTATCTCTTCATCCGGCATTTTCATACGAAACGAAATTCTACACAGAAATGCTCTCTCAAAAGATTAATCGAAACCCAGCTAATCTTCGTATATATAAAGTTAGTAGATAAGAACTATATTTTTCAACAATTATATGAGTAGGCATCATTCTTCTCACTGTGGAAAAACTCGAGTATTAGTTCTACAATCATCTTATATTTTTATTTAAGACTTACTGATCTATAGATATAAAAAATTACTTATGAGTAGTTCGTTTCCAGAGCATTGCAACAATTAGAAGTCCCATCAATGATTGGTGGGAGCACGAGATTAGGTAATAGAGGCCATTGGGATAGTGGGCCAGATAGCCTCCAGCAAACAATTACGCTCTAGGCTTGATTGAAAATTGCATCAGATTAATCTAAATAAAAGAGTTTTATAGAGAAAATTTGGAAAAAAATAAATGAATAAATCAGTTTATGAGATGCGCTCATCCTATGTGAAATGCAATAGAAGCGTAAGGTCTATTCCTATAATTTTGGGAAAATTCCACTACCAGGCCTTCATCGCCTTAAATGAAATAGTGTGAACATATCTCATTTATGAAAGAATATATTGTTTTTGTACCATTTGATTTTGTATGAAACGGCAAGTGGAGGGTATTCGTAGATTGGCCTCATCACAAACTGACTGAGAATTGTCTTGGAGTTGTGACCGTGAATTTGAGCGAGGACGTCCTCAACACATCGTCCCGCAAAAGGTGGGCTATATCGCTCTGGTACAAGATACAGTTGCCAGCAAATCACACCTATCTTTTCTTGTAAAGTGGCATATCAGCACAAATGAACGGTTTTTCTTTACAATCAATTCTCCAATCAATTGTTTTCACAATCTGACAGATTTTCTCGCATCGTAAATACGCAGTATACGCTCGAAGTGTCCCGGAGGGGATTTGAGAGATGGAAGAAAATTTACGAATTTACTAACAATTAGCACATGATCGACTTCTCCACTTCTCGAGCAGATGAGGCGGCAGCATCGTCAGGCATTTCGTAGCACTAAAAGCAAGTTTATTTCGCAGCCAAGCCCCGATTTATGCGTTGAAGTGCACTTCGTCTTGCTTCACCCAGTGGGATACGAACCGTGGAGGTACAAATTGAGTTGACTTTGAGACAAACGGCTGCCAAGTACAGACATGTGCTCGTTCCCTGGATGGGAATAAACAGAAACTTCTAGTCCCCCAGAGGATAAGACCCACATATTGATACCGGCCGTTGATGAGGCGCACGTGATGTCGAGATTTCGGTGGCGAATGGAAACCGGTCGAGGAGAGCCAGTTGAAGAGCCTCTAAACATCTGGCCCTCTGGGGTGCAGCCATTTGTACTTCTGGTTTCAATCTGGGACAATTAATTTATCACCTTGCCTACTCTAAACGAATTTAAGTGACATAGGT